CTGACCGTCGTGAGATACGTTAGAAGTACGAGCGCATTCAATTCCTGTGTGTGTGTGTGGAAATGCGCGCGTCGCCGTCCGCGGAGCGGAAGAGCCGAGGGAATGGAGATTCTGTCGAGTGCAAAGGACGATTGAAAATGTTGGCGACAATCCAACCGGGGAGCTCACCTTATTCGGGCTTCGTATACATATGTTAAAAACGTCCTCTTATCCGTAATATTAGTTCTACGAATAAATTCGACAAGAAGACGCGATATCGGGAACACGCGAAAAAGCGTGCAGGAATATAACTGGGGATAGAAAACCAAGCTGTCACTCGCAAAGTTCGAAAAATATAATATCATACTTCGCTGCTACGTTGACGGAAACGTCTTATTTCATAGAATATAGACCGATCAGAGATTTCAGATAAGATATAGTTTCATCGGTTTCACGTTGATGGAACGTGTCTTAATTTTTCGGTTAAAGAGCTGAACGCTACACGCACTTTCAAATTGATGATCAAACGAGTCATAAATGAAAGACACCAAATGTCCATTGTCCTCGTGCCTGCGTTATGATCGAAATTCTTTGGAGAATTTAGTATGTAACTTCGCGTGCACTTCACGGCTGAATGAGAGAAACGGGAGTGGCAGCGACGTGAGACCAGGTACAAAAGCGGAGTAGTTGTACAATTCTAACTTACGGCTTCGTAATTACACGAAGAAATATGTTAGATCATATCTCGCGAAGTTCTCGCGTGTACAAAGAGTGTCAAGCAAATTTGTAACGCTTGTCGGACAGACACATCATGTCGCATCGTGTAGCAGCCGCCGTTTTAGAAAACCGAAGCGAGTTGCAGAAGCGGGAACAATTACGCCGTCCGGTGTGGCGGCTAGTTGAAAAACTGTGGCTTTACACGGCGCGTTAAGTACGTATAACAACCATCCGCAATTATGCGCCTGGAGACAAACGTGTAAATAAATGTGCATTTCTATGCGCCCATACACACACACACACACACACACACACACACACACACACTACTAACACAATATATATATATATATATATATATATAGGTGCGCGTTCCGGAGCGCAGAATGACTCACACGAGTGTCCCAACTATTGTGCGCCTACGCAAAGCAAAGCGCATGACATACTGCAAAGTCAGTCCTGTTACAAAGGTGCACAATGTTAAAATATCTGGGTACAGTTACTTGAATAATAAAATGGCTAGATACAGATAACGATACATAGTACGATACATAGTACACAGAGTCTGTTTTGTTTAACGATTCTTCTTTGTACCTTTGTGCCTTTTCTCTTCTTTTTTCCTCGTCTAGATTTTGTATACGTGTACATGAGAAAAAAAAAAAATGGGCGAAGAATGGATTCTCCTAACATCTAGATAGAGATACATGTAAGAATCAAGTGTACTCGCTTGAAGATAGTAATTAGTCGATAAGCCAGTTCAGCCAAACGCGAAATACAAAATATCCAGATATCTAATTACTCGGTAAACGACTTGTGTTAACTGCGAGTGAATGGGACGGAAAGGTGGGGAAATCGAGCTAGGGTCAAGGTTCAAAAACTCGTACCCCATAGAAAGTATAATGATCGAGTACACGAGGGACTGCCTGCCAGGAAGATCAGATATCAAAATCATAAATACGGAATATATGTTTAATTTAAGATCCGGTTTAGACTCATTTGGCGGTATATTTTAGCGGCATTATAATATAATCGACGTAAATTTTCAGAAAATACATAATAAATGTCCAATTACGAATAAAATTTGAATTTGAGATCCTAATATATGCGGACGCGGCGCTATCATCATTTGCTCTTGATTTGCATCGATTTGATTTGCAAAGCAATAAAAGCGTCATTACGCCAACTCGGCAAAGTAAGCGCCTAATGTAACCTGCTGTTACGTGTATCAAGAGTGCCACAATAAAAGCAGAACTGATTAGCGCATCCGAACGCGTCGTTAACAGCTACGCGGAACCAGCCGGCGTGGCTCGCTCCGTCTTATTTACGATTTCATCGTGCCACCTGCGACAGAGATTACGCTTTCCGAACAGGTTTTCATACCGTGCTCGCGAAGCGAAGGTTCGCCGCTGTAGATCCGCTGAAAGTCTAGTCACACATAGAAAAGGAATCTCATTGCCTTTGTTGGAGGGGCACCAGGAGGGGAAAAGAGGTCGCGGGGAGAGGAGGGCGGGTCTCGCTCTCGAGAGCCGAGATTATACATCAGATTCAGCGCGCCGACGGGCGACGTCGTTGCCGATGCCACTTGAGCTTGAATCGTATCTAAATGTACCTCGTATATCAGAAATCGAACCGTTCCCTCGCGGAGCCGCACGCCGCCGAGGAACGGTTTACGTACGTCATTTCGTGGGACGGCTGCAGGCTAGGATGGAGCATCGCACTCCGGCCGACCTGCTCCGTCGGCCAGATGCGCCGCCACGATCGCCATTTCTCTCGTGGTTCGCGACATCGCGACAAGCCGCGTGTGGAAATTTTCTTTGACCGTTTTCCGTTCGCCGCCGCCGCCATCGCCTTCCAACCAACTGACTCGAGAGACGTTTCGAGTATTTATGATAGGAATACAAGATGGAACGAAAGATCTGCCGAGCGGATGAAACGTTAGTTCGTGTTACGGCGCGTTATCAAGGCGTTCTCTGTTCCTGTCGACAACGAATCTACGAGGGGTCTGTAATTTATGATTATCATTGTAATGAAAGTCCCTGGGTGTTCGCGCAACAAATCGTTCTCTCCTGCATAAGTATGAATACGCTTTCTCAACTCGAAAGTATTACCGCGATGTTACTCCGGAATATCAGCATCCCAGGCGCATGTAATGCTGAATATCATCCCGGCCACACGTTTCATCGGTACATTGTAATAAACTGCACCCTGTAGTTCTTCATTAAGATCGCACTCCGGTGTGAAAATTGAACTAACGGTGCACCTTTGCGTCTTGTTCTTAGCCCAGGCAGATGTACCAGGATGGATGCCTGCTTTCCATCAATTTCACCACTTCGAATTTCGATTGATGATCAGTGTTGCAAATTTATATACGAGCCGCGAATACCTATTCCTCAAGGTGTAAATTTTTTTTCAAGACGCAAATCTATATACGATACGGTACACGTACCACGTGCATTTTTCACGCTAAAATGAACGACGCGGAAGCTAAATGGTTAAACGAACGGTGAAAAACACAGAACGACACTGTCAATGCCCACCTTTCCGCTCGCCAGATATAACAAATGCGTAAAGCGACGGAATTGATCGGTATTGGAGAACGCTCGCTTCCAACGATGTTTCACGTATACTAGTTTGCGTATACCACTTCGCGGTAATCGGTAAATTGCGCTTCGTGCCGATCGAAATAACGATTTCGCGCTTTTCTAATTGGCCTCGAACACAGAGGTCACAAATCATATCTCGAAGCGCGAAGGTTCACGGTTATGCATGCGCTCGGTCGAGAATCCTTTTGCTTCTTTAACTCCACCATCACTCTGTTATTATCCCGTCCTTCCTATCCCCGCCTCCTCTCCTCCCTCCCCCCCCCCCCCGCCGTGTCCCTTGCTTTCCTTATTTTAACAGATTCCAAGCTGGGAATGTACGTAAGGAGTTATCGGAGGATGAAAAGGAACAGGAAGAAGGAAGCGTGGGAGGCAAGATGAGTAGACGGGAAGTTAAACAAAACACTTTGGATGAAGTTCTGTTCGTACCTACGAGAGATACTTAAGACCCGACTCCGTGCTCCATTATCGCATAATGCGGTAGTATTATAAGAAGTAAATGGTATCCCGTCCGCGTGTGAGACCCCCGGAAGTGGGCATTCACGCTCGTAATGTGGCACATACGTCTCAGTCGACAATAAGTAACGTCTTCCTACAATTTGAAGTTTCACGGGTAATTCGACCGCGGTTGACCGACGTAAGGAATCCATCTATGCCGTGGCCGCAACTTCGACCACAATCTCGCGCGGCCGCCGTTAAAAACGGGCAAAGGCATTAGCCTGTACGGCCTCGCAAGGCGTGACCTGCTGATGGCAGGTAATTGAATATCTTTAGCGCCTCTTTGAAGATCGACGTGCCGCGTCTCTCGATCCATGTCTCGCTTCAGAAAATCTCCCTTCGCACGTTCCCCCTCTCTGCGATCCCTTCAGAAATTCCTCATTATTCTAATGGTTTGTTATGTCCCCTTTGGAACTTTTTATTTTTCGCTGCCTGTCACAAACGCATTTTTTTATTAATTAAACTTTAGATTTTAATTTTTATTTTTAAATGCCGAGAAGCGGCTTATATCTAAGGAATCATTATTATAAAACATTATATTGGACTTCTTATTATTATTTTTACTCCCTCTTATCGTTTTATTCTCTATCTTCCTCTCCTTCTCTCTCTCTCTCTCTCTCTCTCTCTCACTCACTTTCTCTCCTCTTCCTCACGCCCAGCTTCAAGCAAGTTTTCCACGAGTCACGATCGAAGCTCCCGTCACATAGCGGAGATTAATTACGATTTAGCAAAGAGCGGATGACGTATGACGAGACGTGGGCAGAGTGCCTACTTCGTCGCTTATCGCGGGCCAATAACCGAGAAAGAACGTGGTACACGCGGTGGCAAATGATAAACGTGCTGATCTATCAAAATTGTAGTCCGACTCGACAACGTCTATAGAATATCGCAATCGCACGCATCAGAAGTGAATGACATAACAGTGTATGCCACTTTACTATTGACCTATATAAAGCTCGGCTATCAAAATAAAATGGTAGACTGTATGTGTGATTCTTCAAACAAACCACGCTACATTCGGCGAATGTAGATGCAAACTATTTTTACAACAATATTAATGTATCTTTTGTACATATATTACAATATATCGTGTTTACGAATTAAAAGTTAAAGCAGCAGCGCAATCCAAATATTTTTAATGCCAGAATACGTCGGCGTCGATTCCTCCCGCAATTAATTTAAGATCGTTTCTTCTCTGTTTTACAGGGGCGCTGTCGCAATCCCAATTCCCCGTGTTCACCATCTACGCCCAGAAAAGTTGCCTGGCAGTGAAACCGTGCGAACGCGCTTGGTGCATCGATAGAGTGCAGGGACACCGCCTTCAGGGTCACGCACGTAGGACCATGACCGCCTCCTCGAGGCAACACTGCCTCGAGCTCTGCCTCGGTGAACGAGACTTCCTGTGCCGGTGAGTACCGATACCGTGGAGTATTTCTCTCTTACGTAGAAACCGTCCGATTGCTCGTTTTCCACCGACCTGCTTTTCTATCCGCTTCATCGCGGATACGATGTCCGTGGAGTAGAAGGACGAACTCGCTTCGTCGTAATATTCGTCGCGAATCGGTACGCAGAGGGAACGCCGGCTCGGAGTAGCTTTCGAAGACCGTACGCTCCAATGCATTTTCCAGTTATTGGATTCTTGGACCAGCTAGAGGACGTTACACTACGGTCTTATACAGTCTCGACTGTCTCTCAGACATGAACCGTACGAGCCCGAACGCGAAAGGAAGCGGCGAAAGGAAGAATACGCAAGCCAAGTTAGAAAGGGTCTAGGTTCGCGCTAAAATTGCCCTGTTTATCGCCGTATAGCAGAAAGGGTGTTTTCGAAAGGAACTCTCTCGATTACATAACCGAAGATGGCCCGGGGCTTTAATTTTAAATTTTACCTTATTCAAAAATAACAGAGAGAAAAATATTCTACGTATATATTTAATATATTTAACAATAAATTATTAGACGCATCATATGGCACATAAATTAAATTTTGTAAAACTGCGGGGAAAATATTTAAATATTTTTATTTTATCGCCAACGAATTAATAAATACCGAGAAAAGAATGAGTTTGACTTTTATAAAACTTTATTATCTAAAATATTTACTATAAATATATAAAAGTTTTTCATCTAATTTTTATTTTAATATTTTTATATACATATATTTGTTCCGTTAGTGCGATAAACACATGATAAAAGCTCGATGAATAATAATTCCTCGGCGTTATTGATCTACAGGAAATATAAAGCATAATAAAACTTTCATACGATCATAACGGAAACAACAATACTCAGTATTACGTTTATTCCGATGATGTAATACGCACGATGTAATATCACATTGTGCAACGCTACTGACACTGGGTAGATCATTTGTAATATCGTAACGGTAGATGAAAATTTTATCGTTGGAGAATTTGAATTTTAATTGTCAATGCATTCGAAAGTCGAAATCATAATGATAAAACAACTGCATTACATTAATGGCGGATAATTTCTTTGTCAACGTTACACATGAAACGACGTACACGAATTTCTTACAGTGTAATAATATCGATGAACTTTTATTGATTCTGGCAATCATATTTCGAAATTTATGGGCCGTCTGCGTCGTCTAACGATTCCGAACAAGTTGCCGAGAAAACGCAATATGCAACTTCAATGAACTGGACGGCCGTCGTTCGTTACGAGTGTAGGTGCCACTAATCCGCGTCGGTGTCCTTGTCGCGGATCATTCCTGTCGTCGCGTTGATCTTATTTACCATAATGCGTAACGGCGCGTAACCAGATGCAATAATGCGTATCGCGGTGTCCTTATTGCGCGCGCTTATAAATAATGCAGTTCCGCGTGGACCGCGACCGTGCTTACGTTGGTGGTATCCGGAGCGTAATGACCGATGCACTTTCATTGCCCCTGCGCAACGAGCGAGGCGGAGGGAAAGAAGAGAAAGGGAAGCTCGCGGGGAAAGGAAAATGAAGGTATAGAGGTGGCACGAACGTCGGAGCGTTACTTTATGGCACGATTATATTGCATTTTAAATGCCCTCTTTTACACCGCGCCACCACGGCGAGCTCTTCCGATCGCGAGGGAGGGGAGGGGGAGCGGGGGAGGGGTTGTTATACCGCTTCGTTCGCCCCTACATTATGCATGTGAAAATCGTCGCGCGAAAAAGACATTTCGTCGCGACGGGACGGGACGGGACGAGATGGGGGAAATACGCGTATGGTATTCATGCGAGCCAATTATGCGGTGTTACGGCGGAGAGCCTGGGTGTAATCGGATTTATTCGTACGAAATTTGCGAAATTTTATTCGGCGCAAAATGTGATGCGCCTTTGATACACAAGTCGAGCGTATCGACACGCGCATATTTTCCCGCAATGCCGCATTCGGCGTACTTTCCAGCCTGCGCGGAGGCGTTTTTATGCGCGCATCGTTATTGCCAATTCTCTTTCTCTCCGATCGTTATCGCAAGTACAAGTAAGCGTCTAGACAAGAATGATTTCTCTCGCGTATCTCTCCGACCGACCGTTAGACACTTAAGGATTTTTCTCGCGGAAGTAATGATTATCGATCCGATGGCTTTCTATGATTCACTATATGTTGATTTATATGCTAATCCGCACGGTCCATCTATCAATTATAGCGCTTTCGATCTATAATTACATTCACCTTTGAAACGCGATTTTTCTCGCGTATCACATTCAGCGCATTTTTACACGCTTTAAAGCTCGCTCTTTGAATGCGCTAAAGCATTTTAAACACGCGCTCGACGCAAGCAATGGCAGGTAGAAAAATTTACTTTCCCCTTTTTTTTCTTCCTAGATCAAGTTAAGGATTAAACGTACACCCATTGATTTTAATATACTTTACTCAACACTGTTAGCACTACATTAAATGCAGTTTTCACATTTATGCTCACTTGTGATTTAATTTCTCACAACTGCCTCCTTCACATCCGTCATCAAAGAGTCCTGTTTACTCGCGCACCAATTTCCTTCCAGGCCGTCGGGATATAAATAAAATTAGATGGGTTAGTTGCGAGAAACGTCAGACACTTTTCATTGGCCAGGCATGCGGAAGACGACGGCATGGGTCAGCGCGTCTTCCGATTTCGATAGAGCTCGGTGTTGCGCGTTTATGCGGCATCACGCCGACGCGTCAAGAGGCCCCATGAGTCCGTGAGGCGAGCGTGCCGGGTGAATGTGCACGTGCACACCTTGAAAGCCTCCAAAGCGAAAGGTCTCTGCCAGCTGGTCTCCTCTCGCAACGACCCCCAGAACTGTACCTTGGCTTCGACCCGAGACAGGGGTCGAGAGGTCCTCGGCCAGGCGGAACCGTATCAAAAGCTGGCATAGCTACGCGTTTCGAGACCCCCGGTGTTTGTAGAAACCGTGGAAAAGAGAGCACCGGTGTGAATATATGCATGAACGACACCCAACTGCCGAGGCAAATTTCCTGAACAAACGCGCCCCCTCCCCGCCTTTCCCCCGGCCAGGGCGTAGACATAATCCGCTTAATCTCTGAAGAAATGGAACGGTGCGCGAGAGAAAATAGCAAGACTAAAACTTCGTCCGCTTATCGCCCTCCCCTCCCCCTCCCCCCCCTCGCGATTTTCTCGAT